TTAATTTCATAAGTATACAATAAATTTAAAAACATTTACCTTGTCTTGGTGAGTAGAGACTATTAATTCTTGTAAAGGAGTCTACAAGAAAGTGGGGAAATTAAGTCAAAAGAGATGCTAAGACTGTTTACTTTGGCAGCAATGCTAACCTTAGATTCTAGGAGCCTTGAGGTCTACCAGGAGGTAAGTGCCTTGATGTTCCATCATGAGAGGGTCCCGAACTCCAAGTTGTTGAATTATTTAAGGTAGAGTCATAAGACTTTGGCTGCTTTCTCTGTAATTAATGCATAATATGATTTGACAGTTCTGCCTACCACACCTAGAACTGGCTAAGCCTAAACCAGCTGGCAGAACAAAAGCTAGATCTGGTAAGAGAATAAATCTACAGCATAAATTTTTCAGAGAACTTTGGTCACTTCACTTGAGTTAAAGTTATCCTTGCTGAGGTCCCTTTTCTTTTGGTACCAGGATTGAACGCAGGGGTACTCTACCACTCTACCACATCCCCAGCCCAATTTTGTATTTTAAGGACAGGGTCTGGGTTGCTTAGAGCCTTGCTCTTGCGGAGGCTGGCTTTGAACTCACCTTACTCCTRCCTCAGCCTCCCAAACTGCTGGGATTACAGGTGTACCTGGCTACTTCTCAAACATTTCTATTTCTGGGAAGAACTGTTAGAATATTTCAAGTCCCTTTAAGTTGGCGGACAATTTTTGACATTTTTTTTTAATTACTGTGGGTTCATCCACTAAATTTCATTGACACTTGTTTTAGGCTATATCCACAGAATCTTTCAGGATGGCACAACTATAAATTAATTGCAGGTGCCTTCTAACAATAGTATCAGGGTTTGCTAAAACCAAGCTGCTGCTTTAGTTTTTGAGAAATATATGTAAAATGTAGCCCATGTGAGGAAAAAGCAGATTTTGCTTTGACCAACATATAACATTGAATGAAGTCTTTGAGTTTACTTCCCTTCTCTCAAGCTTGGACAGTTTTTTTCATATTTGAAAACCTTATTTTTTAAACTAGTTCCTTATTTTACTTACTTGCATATCAACATGACCAGAAATAATGTGATTCTGTAAAGGTAGGGCTTAATTCTTTTCTCATTTTGGAGATTTTCAGTCTTCTTTAAAATCTTTTAGGTCTGGTGATATAGCTCAGTGGTAGCACCAAGCCTACACAAGGCCTGGAATTGATTCCCAGGATGGATGTAGAGGGGATTTGATTATCATACTGAATATTCAACCCTATTACACCCGTGAGGAAAGGGTAGAGAACGTTTGTGTACATAGACCATGGTAATGAACGTATTAAGTTGGTAAAAATAACCTACTCCTTTTCTGTTGATAAAGAAAACTGAACACAATTTTGAAATTAAAAAAAAAAAAACCCTTCAAAATAGGATTCAGAGGTAGTTTTCTCAAGATTACCAAACTGGTAGATGGTAGTTGGGATTGCTACCCAGATATATTCAACCTGAAAGCTCTTTTCCTTGCAGTCTTCCAGACTCAACAGTTTTAAAATACCAGTTACATTTTTAAGTTTTGTTCAAAATACCAGAAGTCTAGAATGTATTCTGAATACTTTAATGGTGTGCAAAGCTTTCCATTCTACACTTAGCAGTTATACTGCCTTCCAATCCATGAGCATCACTATTTCCACCAAGAACAACTATCCAAGTTTTCATACCATCACACTTTAAAATTTCATTTTGTTTTGATCTCYTTTTATGTTCTAGGTCCAAATTCAAACAAAGAAATTTTAACTCCCAAGTAAATCTCTAAAATAAGCAGTCCTCTGATCTCAACTTTAACCTACRTTAGGCCTGATATTGTGAACCTTTCTCAGTTGCTGAATGAGGTGGTGACAAGGAGAGCGAACTCTCTAGCATATGGGATAACATATAATATCTGCTCTCTACTGGAAGACTATAGCAATTCTGGGCCTTCTGTAAAAAAAAAGCAGCCTCAAGATAAAAACCCACTTAATCTGCTCAATGAGCAACTTAAATACTCCCAACACTTGTAAAATTGCCTTTTTTTCTTTTGCTCTATTTTAAAAGTAGTATTCAATTTAGACAGCTACTTGGGATGCAGAATTCAAAGTTTGAGGCCAGCCTGGGCAACTTAGCAAGAACCTGTGCCAAAATTAAAAAGGGGCTGGGGTCACAGCTCAGCACTAACACCTGCGATTGATCCCCAGTTCAAGTGGTGGTGATAGTTATACAGTTTAAAGCATTTATTTAAAAGCAGAGAACTYGTCTTTAAAAAAGCTTTCCAGGTGATTCTGTAAACTTTAAAATCCTGGATGTGGGTAACTATCTTTACTGATGTGAGTACAGAGGAATTTGGAGGGCAGATTTAAAAACTGACTTTACGTGGAACCAAATGAAGAYACAAAATCAAATATATCACCTAATATCACTGTATTAAGCAGTGGGGCTGAGATTGGAATGCAGACCATCCAATCCAAGGCAGCATTCCTTCATGATATATGTATAGTTACTTGGATAGTCAATTGTAGTCAGGCTTGGTGGGCACATGCCAATGACTTGGGAAGTAGAGGTAGCTGGATTGCAAATTCAAGGTCAGCCTCAGCATGTTAACAAGGCTCCACCTCAAACTAAAAAATAAAAAAAATGAGGACCGGGGACATACATAGCTCAGTCCCTGGTTTCAATTCCAGTACCTCCCCAAACAATCAATTATATTAGAGACCACATTTCCCAGGGACTAAAAATTATTTAATTCACATTGATTTAACAAGACATGTTACAGCCTTGGATTTATGTTGTCAGTAAGCAAATTTTATTAATTCCTTACATAGATACTGAGAAGCTGAAATTCAGTGACTAATTCATGACAGTATATACATACTCCTGTTTTGGATTTTTCTATCAGCAAACATCCCAATTGTCCTTGGGAGAGGGTGGGGGTTAACTACATTCAGAAAATGAAATCCCAATAGCTGTTTACAATGAATGAGTATCCGTTTTGTTTTTCTAACTAAGTGAAACTGCTTGAAAAACACACCTTAAAAACAGGAATGTATTCATTACTAAACAAAAGGCAAATCAAAGTACTAAGTGGAAGTGTCAATACGCAGAATTTAAGTGAGGCTTCCTCATATAATTTGGAAATAGAAATTAAACAGCTTTCAGAATTTACTTTTTGAGATTAATGAATAACAGTGAATGAGAACAGAACTGTTCTTAGCTATGCAACCTTTAATACATCTTATCAACCTACCTAAAAAATTCAAGCAGAAATGTGGATAAATTACAGAAAAGAAAAAGAGAAGTCAAGAAGCAAAAGCCGGTGGGGTCCAAATCAACACTGGATTTAAAAAAAAAAAAAAAAAAAGAAAACATAGTATCAGAGCTAAATAGTGAGCACTGGCAAGTTTACTTCAATTGTAAAGATACATGTTTCAGGCAAACTTCTTATAAAACAAGCAAACTTCTGGCTTGGCTTACATCTGTGAACTTATAACAATCAAATTGTCCTTCAACTTTAGATATAAATGTAGCCGCAAATTCTCAAATTAACATACTAGTATCATAACAGTAGCCTAGGAGGACAGGGGCATAATGTGCTTTTCCAGTGTTTAAAAACCAGCCTCTCTTAAATATATGGGCACATAAAACTTAAACTGTAACTTCAAGTTGCCCCAGAGGGTTGCTGATCCTTCCTCTGTGTAATTTTGGTTAGTGAATTCCTACTGTCTCCCAAGGAAGTCGGCCGAGGGAGAAACTGCTAAATCAAGAGAAATACTAAGTCAAGGATCCTTTATAACAAGAATTTTCAAAAATTGCTTAGCAAAAAAACCCTAAAAATCACATAGCAAGTTAAGCACAATAGGTGAGAAATATTGCTTTTCATTTAGATAAAACTGGGAACAGTGAAATCTAATGAACATAATTGTCTTCCTTTACAAGTTACCATGTTTGAAAARATAAAAAGTATTTCCAAAAATGAAAACCACTAAAATCTCTAAGAATATGTATTGTATAATAATATTCACGACTTATAAGCAATGGTTTATTTCTAAAGTTGGTTAAGGAATAAATACCACAATTTAAATTCTCAAATATAAATGAAAATGTGCTTGAAACCTTTTAAGGCAAGGTATTTGTTAACTAACAAAAACATCTCACTCTGGTTATCTAAAGTGGACCTCAATAAGTAACTTCTTTAATTCAAAGAGGATAGACAGGTCCCAAAGATAAGGTATCCTATATTATTAAAATCTGTTGGTACAAAGTAACATAAGCATCCCCTAATGACATCCAAAAAAACATACATCCTGTAGAAATTTTCTTTCAACAACTGTGAATAACCTGAACTAATTCACACATGTTGCAAATGCTTTCAAAAAGAAAACCTAGGACAAATGCCATTACTTTTCAGGATTTAAATACAGGCAACTCAGAGACTCTGCAAGGTCTCAATCACTAATGAGTATTACCAGTGATTTTATAATGTAGGCCTCTGAGATGTTATTGACCTACCTAAAGAGTATGTCAGACACTCCTGAATATGAACAAATATTCCTTTGCTTTGGTTCTGAAAACACCATAAAGTAGCTAAGGCAAATATTCATGGGGGCACAGAACAATATTGGAAAACTGGGTCAGAGGTAGAAGTAAAGCTTTTGTTTGTAATGTGCTTTTGTATAAAGGTAACAAATCTGTGATCTGGGGAAAACACAACTTAAAAATGAATCACTCTTATATAAGATGTTTGAAGATAATGCTTTTTAATATTTCAAATATTTTTAAAAATTTCATAAAAAACGTATCACCTTAACAGTACTTTGCACATGTGGAATTCATACCTAAATCTGATACTATTTTGGTTTATTTATGGCTACTTACAAGAAGACTCATGGTATTAATGTCCATTTGTCTGAGTCTTTTTCTTTGGTAGAGCCTAATGGGACCAGGCAGATGAACTATTTTATGCAAACAATTTGGTTAAAGCAAATTCACGATAATATGAATTATAAGATTTTTGTTTAATGGAAATAAACTTAAAAAGATTTCCACATTTATCCCCATTGTGGTTCTGGAAGCTTAATATCCTGTTCAGAGGTTAAAGAGTTTCAATAGCTCACACGATCCTGTAAAAATCACAACCGGCTGCCCTTTAATAAATAAAGTCATTGTAAAGAATTACATTTACAGAGTGAAAAGTAAATACATAGCATTTCAAATTCAATTTTGGAAGTACTAATAAGTACTGACCCATAACAATATACACTAGCTATCTTTTTAACTGTCCATCATTAGCACCAATAAAGATTCAACAAAATTACCTTTATTCCCACATCTCAAAACAATTCTGCAAATTCTTAGTGAAGTTTAACTACAGTCACAGACCTTAAATATTCACATTGTTTCCTATGCTATACTGAAAATAAATTCACTACTTTTCTGGATACTCTTTACAAAATCTTATTAAAATTCCTGGTTTTATCCCCAATTATACAGTAGCACAACCACCCTATGTCATTTCACATGATAGCTCTGTAGAGGTTTCACATCTAAAATTACCAAGAACAAAAACCCTTCCCTCCCTCATCTTGCACTCAGCTTAATTCTATACTAGTCCTTGGATTATGTACCACTGTAAAAGTATAACTGTATCAAAATTACCATGTTTATGGATACAATATTATGCCATACAGAGCAACAAAGTTACATATAATGACAAAGATTACTAAAGTTATGCAAGACAATAACAAATGTGGACATGCTAGCTAGGCAAAGTCCCTACAAAGAGGCTGCTAGTTTCCCAAGTTCAAATAACATTGACAAAAATAATTAACAATTATCTTAAAAAAATTATAAGCTACTGGCAAATAAGGTAACTGCTAAATAAAAGTAGAGCACAAGATTAAACTCTTAATATTTACAACCACAAGATTTTTGAGTAAAATTACAATTGTGCACATATCAGTGGCTTTGTAACAAAAATAGTTCATATACACAGAGGAAAAATTAAGACAGTTTTCCATTCAACAGAAGTTGAATCCAACCCATCTCAAAGATACTAAACAGCTCGAAGGTATACCACAGAATAAATTCAAGATTAGCCAATAAACAAGAGCCATACTACTGGTGTTTTAAGACAAAATTTAACCATGTTAAAGTCTATTATTCAATCAGGAGTCAGATGACTGTGCAAACTTTACCTCAACAGGAATATACTGAGATGTGCAAACAAATATAAAACCTCCACTAGAGTGGTTTGACTGGAGACTGAAGTTTTTTTTCTTTTTCTTACAGAACTTTCTGATAACAATCATAAGCTATAAGTACAGGTACAATGCACAGTCAGTGATCTTTTTATTGTTAGAATATAAAATAATTAAGAGAGCATAGGTTTCATTTCATTTTTATAAGGAAGACTGCATTTACCTGAAAAAAATATGGCATCACACACAGACACACTTTAGGGGAGGAGTATATTTAAGAATATGGTGTCATTCTGAATGCTAAAGGAAAAGTGATCCTTGTTTACTGTTAAAATATGTAGTGTTAAAAGTTCTTTAAGGAAAAACTTCTTCACTAGGTAAGTTTTTGTGAATCTAGTTTTCAAATCACAGTAATCCACATATCCATTATTAATAGCTGTTTTGTAGTACTGCAACAAGCCAACAAACACTTAAATGCACTTCACATCAAGAGTATGTAAACTTTATTTTTTCCTCTTCAAGCCTTCAGAAAATTAGGGGTTATTTCAGCAGCCAATCTGGTCAGAACCTCTGAAGGCAAAAAATTGAGTGCCTCACAGTGTAGACCATCTGTGGCACTGCATACCATCCGGTAGTGAAGTGTCCCCCTCTAATGGCTTCCAGTAAGGCCTAGAGTTTAAGGTTAACATGAAAAAGTGCCACCTTTGTTTTAGGTTAGTGATGGACTCTGACAAGAGAAAATAAAGTTATTCTGTATATTGTTATACTTACAAGCAGCTCCAATCCTGAGTATTTATGGTAATATCTAAACATACAAAAATGTATGTACATTTTTCTCCACTTTCTTGTAAACAGTTGTCAGCATACTGTTTTATCCCTTTATCATTGAAACATGCAAATCATACATACAGTATAAATACACAAAAGAAAACAATTTACACTCATTCAAAAGCCAAGCAACAAAAAAATAGCTACAGTATTCAAATTATAAATAATGGATGCTTGAGGCATCTTATATTCCTAGAAGCAGCCAGCCATTCATCCTAATGTTCTTAGCTGCAATTGTAGAAATACTGAGTTTTGCACCTTCCATGCTTTTACAGTATTTATAAACACTATCATATGTGGAGATAAAGACTTGTTTACTATAATCTCTTCTTTTCAGAATGAAGAATAAAGCAGCACTTACAAATATTGAAGCAGTGGCAGCAACAGCAGGTGTTACCACTGCTAGATCAGGAGGAAGTTTTCCACTTTAACCATTTTTAAATTAAAAAAGTAAAGGAAAAATTGACCTAAACAAATGATTACATGTTCATTCCTTGGGCACTTAACAGCGAGTCCAGCATGTCGAATGTGTCTTTGTAGTCCATATGCTGGCTGTTTGTACTGTACTCGTGATTGGCATCAGGACCGTTGGTCTCCACTGGCTTCTTGTCCAGTTTCACGAGGGTGCTGAGATGTCCGTAGCCCACCTGGTATGTGACAGGGGGAGGAGGGGGTAAGGGATGGTTAAAAACAGAGTTGTGAGAGGATATATACTGCTTAACAGAGGAGGAAGAACTAGATGAACTACCTGAACTTTTGGAACTTTTGCTCATTTTGGAGTGATGGTTGTGAGAGGCATCATTGATATGCAGCTTCTTCCTTGAAGAACTGGAACTAGAGGAAATGCCATCACTGCTCAGGCCAACAGGACTCCTCAAAACAGTGGGTGGTATTCCATCAGCACTGTGTTTACTGCCACTGCTGCTGCTGCTGCTGCCACTATGTAAGTGGGAATGCTTGTGACTGCTTGCATGGTGACGGTTTGCAGGATGCTCCTTGTGCTTTTCCTTATGGTCTCTGCCAATATGTGGGCTTGAATGTTTGCTCTTCCCACTGCCTTCATCAGAAGAGCTGTGTCTTTCTGAGGATGAAACTTTTATCTTCATCTTCAGTTCTTCCTTACTAGTGCCTTTATCAGCGGGTGGTATTGGAATCCGTAATTTTAGTGATCCACTTTTTTCCTTTTTCTCTCCTATGAATTTTTCAGGTTTTTCAGTATTTGTGATGGGAATTTTCATTTTAATAGGAGAAGTTACAGAACTGCTGCTGGCTGCCTGTGATTGCATGTGTTTGTGTTGCTGCTCTACCTGGGCAGCTATATAATGATCCCTTACATCAAGATCTAGAGTTTCTAGCTTGCGTTTTTCTCTATATTTATCTAAAGACATTTTCTGAGGAATTACTCCAGGAGTAGCAGAAATAGGCCCATGGTGTTTACTGCTCCCTGCTTTATGAACATATTCTTGCTTAACAGAAGAATGATCAGAAATTTTGTCAGTTCTATGATGTAATCCTGAATGCAGTGATATTGAAGGTCCCTGCTGRAAGTTGATGTTGTATTGGCTACTAGACAAAGATGTCTCCTGTTTCTGTGAATAAATCGGTTCTGTCCTTGTCGATTCTTGATGCTGAGGCCATTCTTGGTGTGATGACAAACCATATGAGGTACTGGGCATTCCTGATGCTAGCACTGACAGATTATCAGATGTATGGCTGTCCTGAACAGATATATTTCCTGAATTTAGAGGTACCGGTGCAGGGAATGCTGACGTAGATGGTTTCTGAAAACTTGGGTTTGTAGGCACACCTGTGACACTATCTACTAATATTGAATTCTGGACCAAAGATGAGCCAAGAAGTGGTGTCTCTGAAACTTGTCCATCTACTTTTGGTTTCTTAGCCGCCTGATTAGCCTATTTACATAAAACAAAAGAAGCAATGACAACGAAGGAATATAAATTTCTTTGCTTATAAAAGATGACACGAGATATATGTAAATAAAATCACCTGGAGTTCAAGGTTTTCTGTTGCCAATAAATAAATGTTTTATTTGGAGATATATCAAAAGGCTATCAAGTTGAAAATACTAGTTTTAGAAAAAAAATTAAATCTTAGCTCATCACAAGACAGTAATTTATCTATTTGAACAATGAATACTTTCATTGTAATCAGTGAGAATTAAAAATAAAAAGTATAATGTACTTGAAAGACCTACACCAGACAAAGTAGTTGAATCAACTATGAATCTATGTAGCTTATGCTATGTCTTAATTATTTACAAATACTGGAAAGATGATTAACCATATCATTTCAAACTGGTTAGCTATGTAATAGTTAAGGGACAAACTGAAAATCTATTAAATCCTGCCAATTTTCTTACCCTCCAGTTTCGAATCCTCTTCAACCTACTAGGTGTTTTCTCCAATATTTGTAGAAACTCATGTGTTAGCTCTAAAAATAAAATTTAAATAAAAAACTTAGAAGGTGTCTTTAGGATTTAAATTACTTTCAAGTGGGCAATATTAAAAAAGAGATCCTAAGAGTTAATCTCTTTCATTGTTAAACTCCTCTTCAACCTTCAACAGAAGTTGATACAATTCTGAACTGGTATTTTCAAAGCTGACTAAGCAGAGTTGTTGTTGTTCTTCTTTTAAAAAGAATATCCCCCACCCTCTGTGGCCACTATTACTTGCTTTAGAATCTCTGTAAAATTCTATAGTGTRTATATATATATATATATATATWGTCCCTCCCCACAAAAAACTTCATTAGGCAAGAAATATAGTAATATTTGTTGAAGGCAAGATTCATCAATAGATCTTTCATCAATGAATTCTTTTAAATTAGTGGGCAAAAGTTTTGAAGGAAAGGATATTTATATAATCTCAATGTATGTTCTCCAAGGTGTTTATTAATTATAAAGAGAAAAATAGTAATTTGACAGTGGAGAAACTCAAGCATTACCACCTTAAGTGCTTATCCCTAGTGAGATAAAGCATACTTCTGCAGTTTTCTTGCCAAAACCAAATAATTTCCATCTAATTATGAAAAAATACTGGACAAACCCCAACTAGGAAATGCTCTGTAAAACAACTAACCATTATKCTTCAAAGTGTCAAAGTCATGAAAGAAAGATTAAAGAACTGTTACAGACTGGCAGACTTAAAGCAACACGTCAACTAAATGGAACATGGGATCTGGGAAAACCTGGAAATAATCTGTGGTTTAGTTAAGAGTATTATACTAATGTTAATTTTCTGTTTTTGATGATATTRTTACATAAGATAACACCACCAGAGATGCTGGGTGAAGGGTGTACAGAAAATTCTATACATTCTTTCATAATTTAAGTTTTAAATCTTTTTCAAAGTGTTGAAAAGGTAAAAATAAACAAATGGATAAATTCCCCCACTTATACTTTCTAGCAACCAACACTATTTATAAATAAATAGTGTTAATAAATAGTGATAATTAGCAAATTATCCTGGCCATAATTTTATCCATTTTCTTAAATTTAGGGTGAGAGTGAGATGACCCACTTTCCAAAGTGTTGTGATTATAATAAATTATCACTTCATACACTAAAATAGCATCATTAATAGTGGCCACTCTCAAAACAAATAGATGAATTTCACTGCCAAGTGAAACACAATAGTGGGAGGGAACCTCTGTCAGGAGACTACAGATTCACTTATTTTTCAGTACAAATAGCATGTTTTTGTGTAAACTATTCTAAGCAAACATTAAGATTGACAATGAAAACACAACACAGAATGTCTCAAAAAAAAAAGCAGAATATACAAAAATTCTGCATTAGCATGATGACTATCCAAAACTAGCCTACGACTAACATGCTAATAAGCACCACATGAATCAAAGTATCTAATAACTTTTCAAGATGTAACCTTCTTGACCATTTTATAACTGTTCTGTTATTTTCATGAGTTTCTGATCAAGTATGGATAAAAAAGCCTGGACTTTCACTTCTTTGTTCAAAGCCAACCCAACCAACCAACCACTTTTCTGCATGACACTAGAAAATTCAAAATACTTTTGGGTCCAATATTAATGAAAAATTGTTTTTTGACTTAGCTTCTTTAACAACTTTGTTGTCAAACATTAAATACACACAATATTTCCCAGTCCAACACCTGGTACCCAGCAGACAAAAAACATAAGCTTTGTTTTTCATGTGTATCCTACTCCATTAATTTTTGGGGGGAGGGTACTGGGGATTGAACCCTAGGGGTGCTTAACCACTGAGCCATTTTTTAAAAAAATATTTATTCTTAAATTTTAGATGGATACAATATCTTTATTTTACATTTATGTGGTGCTGAAGATAGAATCCCCCAGTGCCTCGTGTATGCTAGGTGAGCACTACCACTGAGCCACAATCCCAGCCCCCATTTTTTGTATTTTATTTAGAGACAGGGTCTCAATGAGTTGCTTAGGGCCTCGCTAAGTTGCTGAGGCTGGCTTTGAACTCTCGATCCTTTTGCCTCAGCCTCCGAGCCACTGGGATTACAGGTGTATCCACTGAGCCTGGCTCTATTAAATTTTATAACAAAGGAACAAAGAATCTGTTACATAATCTGTTAACATAAGTAACTGGTTACAGTCACAAAAAACACTGTACAATGCTTAAAAATAGAGGCCTTTGTTTTTCAAAGCTAATACAAAAATATATTAAGGACCCTGGATATTGTGGCACACACCTATAATCCCAGTGACCAAGGAGGCTGAGGTAGGAGGATCACAAGTTAAAAGCCAGCCCTCAGCAACTTAGTGAGACTGTCTCAAAATAAAAAAAAAAGTCTGGGGATGTGGTTCAGTGGTTAAGTGCCCTTGGGGTTCAATCCCAGGTAACAAAAAATGTAAGGGTTCAGAGAGTAGCTCAATAGTACTGAATGATTTGCCTAGCATTCTAAAGGCCCTGAATTCAATCCCTTGAACTCCATATAAGGGTCTATTAATCTGAAAATATATACAAACACCCCAAAAACCTTACAGTTAGGCAAAGTCTAAATCAATGTTGTTTCTGGAACACTGTCACTAAATTAATTATTTTAATAAAAAATAAGAATATTTAAGTACTTAAGACTTTATGAGTGAAAAAAGAAAAAAGAAAATAGCTGCTACATGATATGCTAAAAATCTTATTGTGTTAAATTTCCTAGATCCCTATTCAATCACTCTCCAAATCAATATGAATGTGAACTTTTCCAGAATTGAAGTGGAAGAACATTTAGGTGGCTCCTATTGTTTTAAAAAAAAAAAAAAAAGTAACAACTTACCTGTGACCTACAAGCAGGATAGAAGACAGATTACTTACTTGTGAGCTTTATTTCCACAATATGTATATAAACCATTTTTATAAAAATTATGCCTATTTAATCTATTGACTGGTAAGGCAGGGATATAGGTAACCTTATTTTTAAGCTACAGAACAGATGAAAACATTATTAAAAACCCTTATTGTTTTTTTTTCTTTTTTTCAATTTTTAAAAATCTGTTTTAATTAGTTATACATGACAGTAGAATGCATTTATGCACTTTGATATATCATACACAAATGAGATATAATTTCTCATTTTTCTGAATGTACATGTTACAGAATCATATTGGTCAGTCACATATATACATAGAGTAACAATGTCTGTTTCATTCTACTATCTTTCCTATCCCACATCCCCTCTTATCCCCTCCCATCACTGCCCTTTACCTAATCTAAGGTAACGTTATTCTTCTCTAGTGAATGTTACTTCAACACACTGAAGATTTTCTTTCCTCTGTATAAACTKAAAACCTCTAACAATTTAAGAAAAACAGCATAATCAGGGGTTAGTAAGCATTAAGATATATACTCTGGAAAAAAAAATTTTCAAGAAGGAAAAAAAGGGGGGTGGGGGGAAAAAGGAACCTAACAAAGCCAAATCTTATAATAGGAATATGGCCGGTAAACCAAATATGGCCTTACTGTCTGTTTTGTAAAGTGTTTTACTGAACCACAGTCCCACATGTTCATTTATGAACTGTTTACAGCTGTTTCTGAGCTACAACAGTTGAGTTGTATAGCTGTAATACAGACTTTATAGCCCATGCTATCTAAAATAACTACTCAGGTCTCTAATTTTATGTAACAGATATCCCCAACAGTAACAAAAATGATCTTGTTTTCTCATTAGCCTATTTTGAAGAGAGCTGAGAAAAGTCCCCAAAAGAGTAAGTTAGAAATCTGACATATCATTTTTTTCATCTTTAAAGTTATTTAAAATTATCATCTATTTCTTTTCTGAAATCTGCAATATCTGGTTAAAAATGTCCTAACCCTAATTCCAGGTCTGTAATTTATAGAACTCACTTAACCAGTACTTAAGACTCTTCACTTTTTTCTTAAAATATTTTTTTTAGTTGTCAATAGACTTTTATTTTATTTATTTATATGCGGTGCTGAGAATCAAATCCAGTGCTYGTACGTGCTAGGCAAGCGCTCTACCACTGAGCCACAACCTCAGCCCACTACTCCTCACTTTTGACTACAAATGTCCAATGGGTAACTAAAAGGATTAAAAAGTTGGCACTTTTGCCTACATTTTGTATCTGTCACCTATATTCTGTATCACCTTAAATTTTAAGAATAACAGATCTGGATTTATAAACATCTTGTGATGACTCAAAACTAACCCCAAGGGAACAGCAATTTTCTGATCCTGCCTGAGCAATCCTAAGATAAAGATGGACCAGACAATGCCTGATCAAGACAAGCTGCTTTGGCAGCTGTGTAAATCCTGCAGCTATGAAAACTTCCAACTCCTGCTCTCAATTCCCTTTCTATAAAATCTCAGTCATTTTCAGACCCTTGTAAAGGGCTGAGACTCCTGGTCTCACTTTGCCTTTTTCAAAAGGGTCATACTAAATTAAAGTTCCTTTCCTGTTTTTCACCATTACTTTTTTCCCTTTGGGTTTTCCAGTTGGTGACTAGACCTAGTTTTTTGGACCTCAGAGGCAAGCTTCTTATAGCCTAGGACTCTGATAACACTCATATCCCCAATTTTTCCTTGTCTATTCATGTTTAATAATTCAAGACCACAATGGCAYTATAGAGCAAGGAATGTTATCCTGAAAAATCCCTCTAGCTTATCGATTAACATCTTATACAATTATCTCACACCCAGCTTTGAGTGTACACCCTTTTTTGGGTGGTACTGGGGATTGAACTCCAAGCCACACAAGTTAATTAAGAACAATATATAGGGATCTATAAACCCACTTTTACACCAAGTCCCAGTTTACACACTGAAACAAGATTAGTGTACCTTAGATATTCTTGTCCTATCAAACCCATWGCATTTAAAATCATATTTCTTAAAAAAGTCTGAAATAGCTTTCCATGCTCATTGGTGGTTAATATACATCATATTTTCCCATTAGGCTAATGAATCCTTATTTTCATCCTGTTCACTTGATGATRTAATTATATCTTTAAATTCCATTATCCAATTACTAAAATGGATTTCTAAAGTACTTAACATCTGAAACAGAAATATTAATAAATGAAATGATATTTGGGATTAGCATCAGGATAACTGTGGTATGTGTGTTGAATTGCCCAGAATCAATCAATGTTCAATAAATGTGGGTAGTGCGTAATATAGAAATTTACTATTTTAAAAATCTACACAGAAATACAATTTTTCCACAATAAAAAGGTGAAAAAAATATTTTCAATATAAAAAATATTTTTTTCTTTACTTACCATCTAGTAATTCTAGAGTAACTGTAGGATCCACATATTCCCACCAATGCTTTCCATCTGTTGACACAGGAATCTCCCAATTGGACCATTTGCAAGCCAAATGAATGCATACACATGCTATCACTGTTGGTTTGTACTGAAGACAGAAGGTCGTAAGATGTAGACTGTTGTAGAGCAGGTTTGAAAATGCAGAGCCATAGAAATTTAAATATGTAAAACAAAGAAAAACATTTACCAGTAAGATTAAAGCAAAAATAACCGTATGGAGGTTTTCTTCTGTAAATCTAGAGTATATAACCATATTTTATGAAATTAAAAGCTAATATATCAATAAAAATTCTAATATAAAAACCTATAGATTATGAAATGCTTTCATCCTCACTCCCCATAGCATATTAATATTTTATCAATGCTAATAATTTTTTTGAAATGTTTTTGTATCTAAATTCAAAGTATTTTTAAAAAGAAGAGGAAGATAGTATATTTGCAATAATCACTAGGCACAAATAACATTTTAAACTTTTGTGGCATTTTTCGTTCTTTTGTAATGTCATGGCAAAAAATGTAAAGAAAAAAGACGACTATTTGTAAAAGACAGATGAAGTAATTTCAATGTCACATTATAATCAAGGATTGTTATCATTTGATGTGGCTTAAAAGACATAATTGTCTARTAAAGAGAATTTAACACTTATTTTGTAAATCTGTGCTCTTTTCAGCAAAGCCCCAAAGAGAACTTACCTTTTGCCAAACAATTTAATGGCTCAATGTTTAATACTACAAAAATACTACCTCTCTCCTCCTACTATATATCAAAACTTGGGCATGTCAAATGCCTTTCTGACCAAAGTTTTAAATTTAAGTCTACTTTTCCCTCAGATTTCCTAATAACAAAAGTCAAATCCCAATAACATATATCTTAGAAAATTTTAAGTAAAACTTATCAGTGTCACAAGAAATTAAGAATCACCACAGAGCTGACTTGGTACCTTTTTCCCCAACAGCCCACCAAGAAGACAAATCTATATCTTTAATATCAATCTAGAACAGAATTATACATTACTCTTCCAGTTCAGTTTCAGAATTTATGAAATGTTTACTATTAGCCACAACCACTATTTTTTACTTTATATAAACTAAAAAGGAAGCAACTTTTTAAAAAAGTAGAAATTCTATTTATGTAAATCCAGGCACTGATAAGAATTGACTAGTTCTAATTTACTATTTGTGAGTATTATCTGGAAAAAAGAAACCTAAGTTATATAAATTTTATTTATTTATGTATTAAAAAAACTTTAACAATTATTTTAAAATTAAGAGTGGATCAATGTGAAATTTWWAAAAAAATTGTCATTTAACTATAATTGTAAACTAGAAATAGCTTTATACTTACCAAGTTGCTCGAATTTCTACGTTAAGTTTAGCTCTTTGTAATCTTTAGCTGCTATTCAGGCTACCAATTTTAGACTTATGCACTCACAAATCGAGAATATGTCATCAGAAAGCACCACTACACTTCACATTGTGCATTTAACCCCTCTGTGCCCAAAGTCCCTTGTACAATACACCGCAAAGCAAACAGGAAGGTACCACCACAGTAGATGGTCCAGTCTCCTGTTGCAACAAGGGTAAGAGACACATTGAGGGGGCCCTGCATTAAAGGAAGCTATAGTGTGCTACAACAGTGCAACAAAGAGGGTCAGGATAACAACCTGTTGGTAGCCATGAAATAGGATGTCTGTGCCAAATCCTTGCTTGCTGTAAGAAAAGAAAAAAAGAAAAGACAATACTATCAGCTTTAACATGCTACCATCAAAAAGCTCTCAACACAACAAAACTTCAAAGATTTGTACACAAAAAGTAAATTTTACTTACTACTTACAAATATCACAAGAGCGCCATCATTTTCTATACTACTGAAAATCTTCAACAACATTCACTCAAATGTTTCTTGCTATCCCCCAAAGATCTGAGAAACAAGCCGATTTGCTTTTAGCTAGCCAGTTACAAGGGCTAAACTTGTTACTAAGTTAAGCATCTAGTCAGCTAAAAGTTGAAATAAAGCATTCTCCTGGATTTAAAAAAAAAAAAAAAGAAGAAGAAGAAGAAGAAAAGATTTTTGAAGTCTAATACAAAATACAAAGAGTTGCCTGCCAGACTTAATCTTCAGTCATCACATTTAAGTTGGCCTTAATACTTCCATCAAAACAAAACAGAACAAAACAAGYCCCCACCCCCCAAACTCAAGAGCATAAACTGCTCAGTTTTTTATCATGCTAGTAAGCATCAACAAAATAAACAACCTAGAAACATCATAAGGATGTAGATACAGGAAGCGCCACTGTATTTTTTTAAATTATAAAATGCAATTAGAGGTAACACTTAGAAAAGATCTGAGAACTCTGGGAGGAATCAGGATGCTTYACACTGGTTCCCAACAGAAAAACAATTTTTAACTAGCTTTTTAAGACACTGAAAACAGTTTACCCACCCCTTCTGCCTGGTATTCTTCACAGCAGGAAGGCCCTTGGTACAGTTTCCCTATTTTCCCCAATTACATTCATAATCACTGCTTATCTAGGATCAGTTCACCTGAACTCCACCCCTCTCTAACAGGCCTCAAATTCCTCCCCCCTCCTATTTTTTATTCATGGCACCTGTAATCCCTGCTGCCCCATGTGGATCATCAACATAAGGGTTTTACAAAAGGGATTTGGGTTTGGCAGAGTTGTGCTAAGGAAGAGTGTCAAAGCATCAGATGTCTTGGAGGCAGTGTGACTTAAGTATGTCATTCTTTCCTGGTGGGGAGGGAAGGAGAAATCACAGAAGTGAAAGGTCCCTGTAAAATGACAATAGCCAATTTTGTAGCAAAGTAGTATAATATCAACTCTCTCATCTCCAGCAGGGAGAAAAAGGAGTTTACAGAATAAAATTTATCTACCCCTCCCCGCAAAAGAATCAAAACATACAGAAAAGGAAAAATAATTTTGAACTGCCATAGCAGTTTTCACCTAGAAATGTATGTAAATTAAATAATCTATAAACAGTCACTATGCAACAAAGAAGAATGAAGGGGAAATGTTCTTGTTAGCTGAAAGTTGTAAGAGTGAAGAAAGACACCAAACGTGGAAAAACATTTTTTTTTTTTTTAAGTGGAGCAAGACTAGGTTAGTCAGACAAAATGAAGCTGAACATATATGGATGGTTTGTACTCAAATTTAGGGATGACACATTTTAAACATTAACAAGAAAAATGAGATTTAAATGTTTTGTTTTAGGTGTTATAACAAATTTGTAGTTTTTGAGAAAATTTAAAACCCAGTTTTATTTTCTGAGTTACTATTATACATAAGTAATTTTTTAAAACTTACCATAATATATTCCTTTAATATCTTTAAGCTAGCTTCATTAGGCTCTTAGAGCAGGTTTTATGGTTCTCTATCATTCTCATAAAGCTTAAGTTTTCAAGAAAACAAAACTAAGCTTTTTTTTCCCCTTAATTCAACATCAACAACTAGTTATCTATCTATACTACAATTAGTACAGAGTTTTCTGTACTGGGGATGAAAATATACTATAAAATGTATTTGTATAATTATGAAGAATAGGAACCTAATTATATTCTAGTTTACAAAGTGATATAGTAATAACATATGCTATTAGGTTAAAAAAATATGAGACTTTTATACGTCTACTTCCATAAGGACATAATCAGGTTACAGGCATGTTTTTCTTTTTAATGCATCCATTAACATAATGAAATGTTATCTAGGCATAAAACAAATTCAATTTAGAATGAATACAATGTAAGACTATTTAGGTAAACTCTAAAAACAAGGCCATCAAAAAAATCTGACCCATCCTACTTAGAATAAGCCTAAAAAATAAAAAAGGCTGTGGGTCAAAGAATGAAATAGCAAAGCTTCTTTTTCAAAAAAAAGAAGAGGAAAAAGCACACTAAAGGTCCCAGCTGGTTGCTGTGAGTATATAACACTTCAAAYAGGAAACAGGAAAGAAGAGGCACCACAACATGCAACCGTGTAAAAAAGTATTTCTAAGACTACAGGAACGTATATATATAGGATTTATTAATAGGAGTAGAAAAATGTTATACCACATGCTTTACTCAGAGTAAAGCAAATACTATAAAAACTTCATATTCCCATTTATAAAAGGTCTAACAAGCATATCACAAACTGTATTTACACATCATGCTTCATAATGATTTCCCCATTATACACAAAGAAAAAAACACTTTTAGAAATGCTAAAAAAACTTCAACAAATGGACTAAATCAATTTTGTTTAAATAAATATGGGCAAAACCCTTCCAAAAATGACAAATAATAAATCTGCTAACAAAGACAGATTTTATCAGCAAGACTTGAGATTGGTCTCAGAATTCTTAAACTTTTTATCACTTTTCAAGAAGTCAATGAAAATTTGAAATAAATCAGACATTAATACTACTTTTTGCACCCATGTACTAATAGTATACATCTCAAATATTAACGGAAATGGCACTGGCAGAACCCAAAGGGGGAGAGAATTACTACTAATATTTGGAAGTTCTCCAATTTTTTTAGCGAACTGAAATTTATTTAAGCTTAAAGGAAGCTAACACACTATGTAGAACCATGAAAGTAAATAAATAGGTAGATGTAGAATGTTAAAAAATAATGCTTCAAAATGACTTTTACCCCATTTTAATAAAACACAGCAGAAGACTAAAAGAACAAATTAGCATACAAACCAATTATAGATGATAAAAAGCATTAATACTTATCTTAAAAATTTCAAAGATCACTTACCTCTTACTAACTGGGTACATTTCACCACATCTGTGTGTGGGTGTTCAATGGTGATCTCAAAACCTGAAATGATAAGCACTTTTTTTCCCAACCACTTATACCACTACCAATACTTGCCTGAGAAATGTCATTCATTACAACTACAAATGTATAATACATTCGTCCATGTTAAAAAAAATCCAAACACTTAGAGTTTCTTATCACTGACATGCTCATTACAACTCCAAAAATGAGAAGTACTTAATTTCTTCTCAAATACAATGTCTCAAGACAGTTATTTCAGAATCAAGGATAATTATATTCAAAATTTTAAGTTATAATTAATTTGGGTTTACTATCAAGTTCGAAACAAAATCATGGCAAATGACAATGACTAAGATGGTAATTTAAGCAGGGAATTTAACAAAATATTGTCTTTGGGCGCCAGGTTCAGTGGCACATGCCTATAATCCCAGAGACTGTGCGGGTAAGGCAGGAGGATCAAGTTTTTGACTAGTCTCAGCAATTTAGCAAGACCTTATCAAAATAAAAAATAAAAGGCTGGCAATATGGCTCAGTGGTTAAGCGCCCCTGGATTCAATCCCCAGTACCAAAGTACTATCTTTCTTAATATTCCAAATATTTGTTTCAAAAGATGTGAAAAAAACATTTCTCATAAATGTCAATGTTGGGCAACAGTGGTAGAAAAGAACTTTTAAATGATACAGTCCTTAGTTTCTACTGTGGTACAGTGAAGGGTTTCAACCAGTTCACTTATAACTACACTAATAATCAAAATCACACAGCAAGCAAACTACGTAAGTCTCATAATTCTTGAAATCAMAATTTAAAGAATTAAAACTAAAGATAAAATGTTGAAAGCTTCCAATGTTCAATCCTTATGTAGGGTAGCGTTTTTACTTTTATAAAAAGGGTAGGTCACATTTAGTATATTYAAAACTCTTTAAGTGAATAAAAGTATAACAAATGGACAATCTTAATTATTTTAAAGTTGTTTTAGGTTTTTATTTATRTATCTACTATAAAGTATGCATAATAATACTTTACTCCTTTAAAATAATGCTATTCATTCTGTATACTTAAGAATTTGTCACTGGGGCTGGGACTAGGGCTCAGCAGTAGAGTGCTCGCCTAGCATGTGTGAGGCGTTGGGCTCGACCCTCAGCACCACATAAAAATAAATAAAACAAAGGTATTGTGTCCAACTATAACTAAAAAAATATTGAAAGAAAGAATGTAAAAAAAAAAAAGAATGTCATAAGGAATACATGTTACACAATGACTTTAAAAATTTTTTTTATGGTGCTGGGGATATAACACATGTTTTGTGCATGCTGGGTGAATGCTCTACCACTGGGCTACACATTTAGACCCTATACAATGCCATTGTACATTAAAGTAACTTTACAGTAGTCTACAATACTTTTTAATTTTAAATTTTATTACAAGTATTTATAATTACCCATAAGTTTATGTAAATTTATATAACAACATGATAAAAAGCCATTATATCTGCAGGGAACAACACTTGTATCTTTTGATAAAAAATGAGTTACATGCATCTCAAACAAGTTCATTTTATAATAAAGAGACTCTGCTACAAGTAGCTATAACTTGTATTTCTATTCAACGGCTGGGAATAAAGTAATAAATAAAACGAAAAATGACAAATTTGTAATGTAACACACGTTCATAGAATGAAGGTGTAACAGAAAGGAGCTTTGCCCGTGTTTAYAAAGAAAGTCAGATGACTAGAGATTTAAACTTAGATCCCTATTAAGTCCATAATTACCCTACCACATGCTGCTAAGTTCTTCCATAAGGAATTCATGATTTTTTTTTTGGGGGGGGGGGTGACTTTTAAAAATTTTTTTTAATGTTTTAATTAGTTATACATGACAGTAGAATGCACTTATATACTTTGATATATCATATATAGATGGAATATAATTTCTCGTTTTTCTGAGTGTACATATTGTAGAATCACACTGGTTATACAGTCACATACATACATACAGTARTTCTACTATCTTTCTTATCCTCATATCCCCTGCCTTCCTGTCAATTTTTAATAAGTCACAACCTTTTTAGGACTCAATTTTATTTAGTCCTAAATAGTCTGCTGTGAAGTTAAAAAAAAAAAAAAAGAGTAAATAAACCTTAAACAAAGATTTAACTTTTTAAAAAGGATGATCACTTAATTACTATATCACATTAAAAATGATGTGATATAGTCATTACATACTGACTATGAGCACTGGGAGAGTTAGGATTGCCATGTATATTTGTATACATCACCATTATATGCAACAATCCTAGAGGACTCTCCAGGGCAAATCCACAGTGAAGCATTTTGCTTCACCTATCTGAAAACCCAAGAAATCATTATAGTTGCCTATGTTTACCATTCAATTAAATTATGTCAAATGAAATTAAATTTTAGAAAAATAGTTTCTTTACTATTAGGCAATACTTTTGTGTGGTACTAGGGACTGACCCTAGGGCCTTGTGCATGCCAGGCAAGCACTCCACTCCTAAGCTATACCTCTAGTACTTTGAACACTTCTGAGATAGGGTCTTGCTACATTGCCCAGGCTGGCCTTAAATTTGCAATCCTCTTTCTTGCCTTACACTCCTGTCCTGGGACTATAGGTCTCTCCCGTAGCTGGGAAGACAGGTGTGTGCCACCACACCAAGCTGGGCAATACTACTATATTTTAAAATAACTTTCTTCAATAAAATTATTCTAGGAATCTTTAATTTAAAATATTGCACTGAAGAACACAAAATAATTGACATTAATACATACCTAGTGTTTGTAGCATTATGGTTTCAAGTAAAACCAGTTCTTGAGTCTGCTGAAGGTAAGCCTGGCAGATAAAAATAATATTAAAATACTTAAGATTAAACAACACTACTAAACTACTTAATACTTTACATCTCATGAGAATTATAGATCAATTACAAAAGAACTAATGGAGTTTGCAATGTGGGAAAAATAAACTGAGAATAATGGAGAACACTCATTTTTTTTTTTTGTGACAAGCCTAAACTGAATCACTTTCCAGTTTACAAAGTGTACAAAGAAAAAACAAAAAGAAACAGAAAAATCCTTAATGATAATACAGGTTAACTGAGAAAAGATCTATACAGTGCATATAGTTAAAACTTTTACCGAGGCATTTCTGCCTCAAGACACATTTACAACAGAAGCACCAAGCTAAATAATAACATCAAACTCAAACCAGCATTTAAAGAAATGTTAGCACTCTTTAGGAAAGACAATCAAAACAAAACCTCAACTCTTTAGATTAAAAGAAGAGTTCAGATATAAAATATGAAAACAATGTATCATACACCCMTGAAGACATAAATGTCAGAGAACCTTCTCCCTAAACTTCAAGAAAGTATTCTCCATTGTAATAC